TTAAACCTCATTTCAGTGCTTTTGCCTAAAATGGAGCCTTGGTCAATCTGTTGATCTCCTAATCGACCCATGTAAACGATACATATTTGTGAAACTTGAACCATCATTTTCCAAAATAAAAAATAAAATATCCAAATATTTATAATAAGGAACACTCCAACATTCCCACCAAATAGTGTAAGCATGTACTGGACACCTGCCTGTCTGATAATGACATACATGTGTACATACCGTACAATGCTCAACATTCATCAGTCTACAAAAGGTCATAACAAATATATTTGAAACGTACACAGCACCATCACTGATGATGCTCCCTCTTAATATTCTCACAGACTGCCCCCGTGGTCTAGTGGACAGAAAGTTTGGTGGTACAATCACCAGACGCATCATACTACAAGACTGTACTTGTTGTTACCCTGACTGGCACCCGGCATTAAGGGAATAAAACAAGGACTGGTCAGCTAGGAGTCGGTACACTGTGTCTGACATACACACACACATGCATGCAAATGTAAGTCAATAATCTTTAACACAAAGTTAAACTTATCATAATGTTAACATACATGGATAATCATGATAAAAAGTCATTATCAGAAGTGACAAAATCTAATACTTAATTACCAAGATTATTAAATGAATAAAATTATGTTTTTCAAAACAGTAAACAGACACTACCACTAGACAATGCTAGATCAAGTAACTTGGGCTGGAACGGGTAACTCGGGTACTTGGGTCGGGTGGGTACTTAGTCATGTTAGTAGGACTACCCGGACCCGTGGTTACTCACGTGATATATTGTTTATTGACAAAAATATTATCTAAAACTCTATGGTTACACTACAAATCAGTATTGTTCGCATTTCTTTCTGACTGTGCACCCATTCCTTCTGACCTTTACAGGTTTGAATAAAGATAAAACTTCAGTTGACTTCAGTGTCAGATCAGATCGTTTTATACGTGTAACTAAATACATTTTCCAGGGCTACAGTCAAACTATTCCCAATCGGACTTTTTTACACCCAAGTCTTGAGACATATAGCGGGTATCCGGGTAGGGTCGGGTGATAGCGTGGTGGGTACCCGGGTGGTAAATTTGGACTCGTCCCAGCCCTACAAGTAACCATTTAATAACTGAGAAGTGCTAGACTTGCTCCAGTATAAATCCTGTAAATATGTTGTGACAGCCCTACAAGTAACCATTTAATAACTGAGAAGTGCTAGACTTGCTCCAGTATAGATCCTGTAAATATGTTGTGACAGCCCTACAAGTAACCATTCAATAACTGAGAAGTGCTAGACTTGCTCCAGTATAAATCCTGTAAATATGTTGTGACAGCCCTACAAGTAACCATTTAATAACTGAGACGTGCTAGACTTGCTCCAGTATAGATCCTGTAAATATGTTGTGACAGCCCTACAAGTAACCATTTAATAACTGAGACGTGCTAGACTTGCTCCAGTATAGATCCTGTAAATATGTTGTGACAGCCCTACAAGTAACCATTTAATAACTGAGACGTGCTAGACTTGCTCCAGTATAGATCCTGTAAATATGTTGTGACAGCCCTACAAGTAACCATTTAATAACTGAGAAGTGCTAGACTTGCTCCAGTATAGATCCTGTAAATATGTTGTGACAGCCCTACAAGTAACCATTTAATAACTGAGAAGTGCTAGACTTGCTCTAGTATAGATCCTGTAAATATGTTGTGACAGCCCTACAAGTAACCATTTAATAACTGAGAAGTGCTAGACTTGCTCCAGTATAGATCCTGTAAATATGTTGTGACAGCCCTACAAGTAACCATTTAATAACTGAGAAGTGCTAGACTTGCTCCAGTATAGATCCTGTAATGGGACACTGACGGTAAACATCATCAGGTCATACATTTCCTAATCTGAATGTGACCAGAGTGGTTAAGTGTGTCACACCTGTCCTGACTCCCTGATGATGTATGCTGTACACCATGTGGCTCACCGTCATCATCACATACACCAGCTGCTTGCCCATGGGGAGATGGATGTCAACATTCATTCATTCATTCATGACATTTTGTATCAGACAATCATTATGGGAAACACAATGTGTTTGCTCACTCAGGCTAGGGATCACATCACTTTGTCTTATAATCAATGATGATAATGTACCTGCCAGTGCCACTACCTAGTCATTGTGGAGAATACCATATGCCTTCGTTATTATGCAAATTATTGACAATATGTTCCATAGCAGTGATTAGACAGGACCAATGTCATTAGTTCTTTTACAGACCTAGTAACCTACTATCTAGTAACCTTATACCTCAAGATGTATCGTTACATTGACATTTTGTAAATATTTTTTTCCATCCTCACTGCAGAGATTTTACTTGAAGCAATGGAACAGCTTTTTTTCTTAAAAAATAATTAATCTCAAAATGGTAGTATTGTATTCAACACAAAACATATGGCACAATGCAGTAGTTAATTCAGTCATTGATTTTTCATTATTTCAATTTTGGTGTTAAAGTAACAATAAGCAAGATGTAGTGCCTTTTCAATGCATCTTCCACTGAATGAATATTTTATTACACTTACAGCCATTTGTATATGTTTTTGTTTTTTTGTTTAACGCCTCACTCAGCAACATTCCAGCTATTTGCCATTTGCATATGTAAACATGGTACACTTCTGCATGTTCTAGTCCTCCCGTTAAATTTAACAGATTTCTGCATATTCAACTCTTAACATACCTTACTGGATCACTGAAAGAGAGATATTTATTAGGGTTATTATGGTCACGGACTAAAAGTGGCAGTTACAAATTGTTTGCTTTAAGGTTTTGAACAGATTTCAACAGGTCCTTGGAAAAATATATTTATTCTGAGGTAACTTACTTGAGATGGGGATTGGTTAGTAATATTAAATGGCTTTTCAATGGATATTATGCATTTTCAAGGCTTTTACAAGACCATATTTCAATTCAAGTGGTTTTCAAGCAGGTATTGATTTACAAATCCTGCTTATTCAACAAGACATATCAAATTATCACATTACCCAGATCTAACCCACCGTGACTCTGTTAAATCAGTTCTTTGCTTATCACTACATAAACAAATAGCTAATCCAAATCAATCAATACCTTGTAAGTGCCAGGATGTTACAAAAGAAAGTATGTCTGTTCCTTCCATGAAATGATCTGTTGATATATGCATAAAAATGGGACATTCCTCGAGCATGCTTTCCAGATCAAGATTTTTTCACTTTTGGCTTTATCAGTTTATTGTGTGTCTAACATTAACATGATTCAAGTATCATCATCAGTGTTATCATTATCATCAGAGCTACAGATAAGCTGCGGATTTGCGTAAAATACCCCCCAAAACTATTCAAAACCCAATTACTTTCAATTAACTTGCGTACAGAAACGCATGCATTAAATTAAAAACTCAATTGTTTGAAAACAGTAAGCGTAAATACCCAATGAAGCTTTTTCAACATGCGTACAACGGAGCTAATTTACTTTCCGAGTCAAGCCTATATCTAAAATCGTTATGTACATCTAAAACATTATTTCCTTTTTTATTAAATCTCAAAATGTTTACTAATTTTTGGAGAAAAAAACCCAATAAAGTGATGAATAGATGAGTGAAAAATTATTGGTTACCCAATGAAAAAAGTAAAAACCCAATTAGAATAGAAACCTTCAAGTAAAAACTCAATTGCTCAAAATGTTATCTGGAGCCCTGTATAATTATTATCATTGTGAAAAATCAGTTACAGCCACATCATGATTTCATGACCTGTATATGCGTAAACTGTTGAAGGTATCCATATCAGACAATGTGTCATGTATGTCTTGTTATATCTGGTCTTGTTTGTGGAACTTTGATCAGGTAAGCAGATATTGACAAGCTGTCAGTCATTCACACTATCAATCTTTCATTGCGAACATAATTCCGTCTACACGCAGGTAGGTGGTCTTTGGTAGGGTCAGCGCCAAGTTCGTCATGAGGTCACTGTTCTTACTTTATGCATGACTCGGACCACCATCGGCTCATACAACAGCCTAGACATCAAGTTAATGGGGAATCTAACCAATGCTAACAACTCAGACTAATTGGGCAGGAGACTAAATACGCACAGCATGCTAACTGACATAGCTAATCTAAGAGAAAGTAGGACAAATCACTCATGGTCATACTATTTATCATACGTCTTTGTTGAGCCAAATGATAGGGTCTGTGCGTATGTATCATATACAGCAGCTTTAACTAATTAAATTGAGACTTGCACTCTTCACAAGTTTAAAATAAAAAACATTAATTTTTGGACAATGTAGTTTAATGTAACAATAACTTGTATCTTAATCTTGTATTCTAAACTTAAACATGTTAAAGGCATGAAATGTTTCAATTTCAGCGAGTGTACAATGTCTGGACCAAGACGCAACTTGAACCAACCACGGAGGCGGACATACAGACGATACAAATAACAAAATCAATGTCATCTCACCATGCTCACTGGGTTATACACTACAGTAAAAAATAAAAAAATAAAAAATGTGATCCAAACTATGTAGATTTATTACTAACATTATAAAGAAATTGATATTTAATGTAGATCTATCATTCTCTGCGACTTACACAGATTGCTCAACACTGGAAAAGTGAAAACATTTGATTTTATAAGATTTAATTCATACATTCTTAAATAGATCTATGATGGGGAAATGATCTAGATCACGAGATATAGTTTACAAAGTAATTTAGATTAAACCTACAGTCAGTGACATGGTGGGTTTTTTAAATAATATAAACAATACAGAAAGACAACTTTATATTATTAAGTATAATTTAACTGTCATTTTGTTTCAATCGAGCCTAATAAGAGTTTACAAAGGACCAAATAGGGTGAAAAAAAATCACATCTTTCGTGGCATTGAGCTGTCAACAGCCTTGACAGTGGGACCCAAGTTGTAAACAGGTGCTAGGTCACTCTCGGGATATTTGAACTTACCGAAGCTTTTCCGTTGTTTAAAAGTCCTCCCCACTGATTCTGGTGGTGTAGGCATTGTTGCAACTTAATCTAACTTAATGACAACCGAAATAAATGGTCTTGAACTTGTTCCGTCAGCCAACTCAGAGTCAGATGTTTTGATGCAAGAATCACTTCTGACGTCACGTTCCCCGTGCTGATTGGACGACTAAGGGACGTTATTCTCATGAGTGTACATCCGTGACATCCACTAAAAATATACTGTTTTGTGACTTAATCAATACACTAAGTAATATTTTAACTGTTTGAAAACATTTTTAGCATTGAGTTAACTGGATATAATGTTTTTATGTTGATTTGAACATTAGTTTAACCACGCAATAAACACATTTGCAGGTCGGAAATAACAAAATAATGATTTTAGAATAGTTGCCGCATCAAGTTCAGTGACATTTCTCAGAAAGATTTATTTTGAATAGTTGCGCGAATGTTTTGGTATGTCAGCATCACAGTGCTTGGTCATATAACTGAATATCAAGCACATGAGCAATGTCAGATGACATATGACGTCACTGATCAAATTTCAAATGTGATGAACTTGTCTCGTTAGAAAGTCTTAGTGATCAAGTATTAATGTTTTTAATTATCTATTCGATTATATTAACGAGGCATCATTCAAACGTATCGCTGGCTGTAATTACGAAATGTTTATAAATCTTGATCAAAATTCAGGACTCGCGTTAGACATTGTCTCTGTATTTGTGCTTGTATGCTTGGTCAATTTGTAAACACGTTTTCATTTTAGCGTTTAGCAGTTGAAGACGTTTTAGTACTCAAACCTCCAACTTACATCTGTCTATTTGTTGTCTTTTTTCATCTTGGAGTAGGGTAAGATAATTGTTTCCGGATTCATTTCGGATATAACTTTTTCATGCATGAGAAATTATTACTCTGAGAATATTTCCTCTACATCGCGACTTCACCTGTGAAGATCCGGGGTAGAATAGGTCTTCAGCAACCCATGCTTGCCGTAAAAGGCGACTATGCTTGCCGTAAGAGGCGACTAACGGGATCGGGTGGTCAGGTTCGCTGACTTTGTTGAAGCATGTTATGATCCCAATTGCGTGGATCGATGCTTATGATATCAATCACTGGATTGTCTGGTCAAGACTCGATTATTTACAGACCGCCGTCATATAGCTGGAATATTGCTGAGTGCGGGGTAAAACAACAAACCAAACAAAACAAAAACTCTCCACTGCAACGCGTGACACATTTGTTACTCTCACTGTAGGGGCGTCAGTGAATGAACTTGAAGGACGAGAATTAACTGTCACATCTACATAGAGTTTATGCAGGAAAGCTATCGTTTGTTTTACATCTATGAGGTAGCACGCTAGTGTACAATAGCTATATACTATAAAGGATATCACCGATCTATCTGCATGTTTTGCTGTTTTTTAGATCAAACATACGAGGACTTTGTGCAGAGACTGAAAGATGCTGAGTCCAAGAGGCAATGCCGGTATGCAGTGTTTGATGTCAAGTTCTACCAGAACGTCATGCCGCAGCCCGCCAGGCGGTCATGAACGGGATTCCCGTCTAACTAGCCAGAACGCCTTGTATAGAGTAAGGGTAGGTATAGGCTTGAGCTCGGTACCTCGCATACCGGTCGTGCAGTGTTGTGAAATATCCCATGATATTGCCTGTCGGGAATTATCGCCTATTTATCACATCACTCAGTCGCAGTATGTTGGCACTAGACTTAGGATGGGTTAACTGATAATCATAAATGAATATACGTTTGTACACAAGTTCCTTCGGGGAAGCGGTTTGACTGTGACGTAGTTACTTCAATCTGATTGCATGGGTTCTCATCAACTCGGGACCCGTGAAGAACGGGGGTAGAATTGGTCTTCAGCAACACATGCTTGTCGTAAAAGGCGACTATGCTTGTCGTAAGAGGCGACTAACGGGATCGGGTGGTCAGGCTCTCTGACTTGGTTGATGCATGTCATCGATCCCAATCACTGGATTGTCAGGTCCAGATTCGAATATTTACAGACCGCCGTCATATAGCTGGAATATTGCTGAGAGCGGCGTTAAACAACAAACCAACCAACCAGCATCACGACTTCGGTCTGAAATCTCAGCTATACATTGGACACGCTCCTTGGGCGGTGTGGTTGTCGAGTAGCTTGTCATGCCGAAGACTCCGATTCACCACCCATTCTAGGCGTCTCCTGTCATGAGAGCTGGAATATTGCTAAATGCGGTGTAAAACGATACTCACTTACTCAACCATTTTTCACCTCGGTGTTAATCTCACTTAGTCATACACCAGATTCATATGGTTCAAGTGTCGCTCACCATGGAGTTCACTCACTCACACGAGAAAGATTCCCTTACCTCGTTCCTTTAATGGTCCGCCTCCGTGGTTTAGTGGATAAAGTGTTCGCGAAGAGAGCGGAAGGGCGCTGTTTGATCCCCGGTCACTTTATAGCAAAAGACCTTAAAAGATGGAACTTGTTGTTACCCTGCCTGGCGCTCGGCATGGACTGGTCGGCTCGGAGTCAGGATACTGTGTTTGGGTGGGATGTTTATCTTATTAACCGCGGCATGGCATCTTCGTGGGCTGGCACTGTAAGACCGGCATAAATCCGGACTAGTAAATGCACGCACGCACGCACACACACACACACACACACACACACACACACACACACACACACACACACAAAATAATAATAATAAATGCTAAATAAGTGCAACAATCTTGAACGCGGCGTTAAACCTCACCACCGTTTCTTATTCCTGGAGATAAACGATAACAATCATTTCAGATTGACAGTTTGCTGATCTGACAAATATTTTACAACCGCTTCTAGAAATCTGTCCTCATATACACCAATTGGCGTGTCGTCGTTCGTGTATCCTGATGCAGAGAACAGCCATTATTTTGTAAAATAACAGCTATGTACTGAAATTCAATTAAATATTTTTGAAGATTGGAAAATAAACACTTATTTATTTATTCTTGATACGGTAAATTAATTCAAGCCTTTCTGCTGACCGTTCATCTTACTTCTGGACCTTGAGATAGTGGGTAAAACTCCCGACCAACACTATATGATACATGTGGTATCGATTGCGATATATTTTATAGCAATAATTTTCATATATGCTCACTGCGCGCGCGCGTGCGTGTGTGCATGTGTGTGGCTGATTGTACTAGTCCGGACTAATGCAGATGTGCTAGCCCACTGAGATACCATGCTGCAGTTTAACAGGAATACCCGACTCAGACACAGTGTACTGACTCCGAGCTGACCAGTCCTTGTTTTAGCCCCTTTTTGCCGAGCACCAAGCAGGGTAGCAAAAAGTACCATCTTTTAACGTCTTTGCTATGACACGGCCGGGGATCAAAGCCCCGATTTTCCGCCCTCCGGGCAGACGCTCCACCACTAGACCACGGAGGCGGTCATGTATGCAAGGAGCGTGCTATGTAAGTTCAGCGACCTTGTGTCCAATCATCTGACTTGTTTGTCAATAGAATAAAAAAGATGGCTGACGTTTCCGTGTAATAACATATATAACAAACAACTACATTCGTCCCCACTCGCCCCTTTCCGTAACCTGCAAGAAGATTTTCGCTCATTCGTCACCACTCGCCCCTTTCCGTAACCTGCAAGAAGACTATTCGTCTTGTCCCGGAATAACACGAGTTGGTCACGAATGAAACAACTAATATAAAGAACTGATTTCTCCTGACCCTTGTTGTTCGTTATATCCATGGTCTACTGCACTTAAACAAAACTTACTCTTGTAAATGCAATGTACCGTTAATAATTGAACTATTTCAAACAGTATATTACAAAAATGTGAAAACAACAACAAAAGCCATTCTGTGAGGATAATGACGCTTGTATTCAAAAGAAAATGATGTACAAAATATGTCAAACATTGGTAAAATGTCGCTCTATAAATAGCAGCATAATATATAGGGCCCACTTGCACAAAGCGATCTTAGCGCTAAGACTATTGTAAGCCTATGTTAAAGTATGGGAGTTACGATCATCTTAGCGCTAAGATCGCTTTGTGCAAGTGGGTCCAGCTGACGAATGTTCACAAACAATACGCACCACATCTTACCAAATACATAACACAGACAGGGGAGGATCATGGGATATACAGGGTCACGGACTCTACATGCAGTTATGTCGTACACCAGTCACTAATCACTTCGTTAGTTAGCATTAATATTGTAATATATCCACAAAATGCCCATACAACATCAACATAAGAAGACGACATAAAACGGCGGCGATCCAATCCGACTGCAGCATCAGCTGCATTGACAGTGATGTCTATATTTCCGGACGGGGCCAAATGCACAAAAATATGTGCATGTTCTAAAAGAAACACATGTTCAGATTTTGCCTTAGAATTAATAAATTGCAAACATATTGTATTTTCAGTGTTGTTTTTCGAACTGAGTCGGTGTATTTACAGGTTTATTCACACGACAGCAGATACTAACAGTCATGCTGGCAGCGTGGGTACATGTCTATATAGGGCGACACAGTAAACAACCAAAAATATTCTTCATATTCACATCTATGCACATGAACTATATGCGATATACTGTGCAGATGAAATATGATATCTTTTTTAATATGATTATTCTCGGTCGCCACACCAGGCGGGCGCCCACAAGAGGCTCGTGTCTATAGACTCGCGCTGCATCCCGTGGTTTTTAGGTGTATCGCAGAATGCATTGTGTGTGTGCGTGTGTCATTCAGTTGTAGCAATGATCTAAAACGTCGATAAGTGTCTAAAGTGTTGAACTAAAGCCCGCCATTGGCCTTGTCACTACAAACATTGCAGTTGCATCGGAATTTCCAAATGTTTCATAAGATTTGTAAAACATTTCGAAATACTGATTTTGTTGCCAGGCCAATTTGTTTCATGGAGTTCACAGACCCTGAACCATATTATTTCCCCTTCCGCCAAGCTCTTTATATGTAATGCTAAAATACTAAATGAAGCAAGTCTAGGTTTACTGAATCTCCCATCTCACTGCGGCTCCTTTTCAGTTTGTTTTTATCAAACATAAATACTTTACGGGACAAAGAGTTCGTCTGGAGAGGGGTTGGTAATTGTATCAAGTGATGTCTTTACTGGAGCGTACAGACACAGTCAACTGTTAATGTAACTATACATCTTGAGAAAAAAAGTTACTGGGCCTGATTAATTACCTTTACAATTTCGTTCGTTTGTTTGGAATATGTCTAATGGTGGCAGATGGTTCTGTGTAACAAGTTATCAAATTGGTCTGGAATAATCAGGTTAGTCTGACTAGCACCACCTATTGGTTTAACGAACCGTCTCGGTATGCGTTCACCAGGCGAGGGGTTGCAGATAGTCAATCTCCTTAAAATCTGATCATTTACTCTCATACGATACCTATATGCTAGATGATCTGATGTCAGGCCAACTTCCTAATCAGCCAATCAGAGTCAAGGCTTAAGTTCTCGAAACGAGTAAGCGACGCATTTCGACCGGCATATCTGATGTCTGTATATACAAAACGAACCAATAGAGCAAGTACCGAATGAAATAAATAAGGCTGCGCCATCATATTGTTGTTGATATTTTAAATACCCTGTCGTTTCTGAACGCCATGGCATCTAGACCCGAAAGGGAGTACCATCGAAGGAATAATTGTGTTTTGTGTGGGTTTTCATTTATACAAATCAAACTTCTGAAGAGAGGAAGCGTAAAAAATGAAGCCGACATTCACCTGACGCTACCTTCTACTGAGGTTTCCTAAGATCTTCACACAGAGAGGTATCGTATCGGAGTAAAACCTCTGATTTTGATGAGATTGCAGGGATAGGTAGTTGAAGCTCTGTGACCTTGAACCATACAGGGCAAGGTCAATGGTACCGGAAGACCTTCATTGCCGTGATCTTGACGTCAAAATGGTGCTACCATGACAACCATGACGACCAATGTTAATGACTTCTCGACATTCTAAATGTTACTGAATATATCATGTTATTTACACTGTTTCAAAATAAGTCTCTTACGAAAACCATCCGTCTGCTGCTGTTCTAGTGCACTTCAGGGTCCAGTTCTTCGGGAACGAGCTAACTTACTCTTTTGATCTTCATGGACATTGTACAAGTACGCATTATGCGTAGAGTAGCTTCAATTATGAACTTTTCAGATATACAACAGTATTTGTCTAAGCTAACATCTCTACCTGGATATATAGATTACACAACATATGATTATGGAAGAGCGCTCCAACATGTACCATCAATACCATGAAGCACGCACTGACAGGTCCTGGTTCCAGGCAAACTCATTAAAATCAGACCTTAGTTCTCGCTACCGCTAAACAAAGATCTGAAGACATCCAATTAGGGGTCACGTCAGAACGACCTTTTATCCGACCAATGAGAGCATCGCTTACCAGATCATGAAAGTGACTGTCGGAATGTGATTTCTAAGCATACAACTTCGAAAACTTTAACTCGGGGTATTCCGAACGATAGTTACAGGTTTAACGACTGAATCTATACAATCTAGACCATCTATTAGCATTCTAGAATGTACTTTTGTTTAGGTTGCAAATTTGTAATCGAGAATTTGTCCAAATATGTTTCGAAGCGTAGTCGCCAATTTGAAATTAGTGCCGTAAAGCACGAGAAAGCTGCCTTCTGATTGGTCATTCTGTTGGTCGGTCAAAGTTCGCGCAAGGTCGGTCTGACGTGACCCGTAATGGGATGTCCTCAGATCTTTGTTTAGCGGTAGCGAGAACTAAGGTCTGATTTTAATGAGATTGAGGTTCCAGGACGCCAATACCACGTGGTGCAGCTCGTACAAAACAACCTGGCAGGTGAGACTGGACATATAACTAGTCGCGTTAAGTTATTTCTGGCCACGAGAAAACGTATGCCGCTCAGGATACATTTAACTGCCGCCACCAATTAGCCGAGGTCTGCTGATTCACTTACTTGATACAGACAGGATTTATTCCCAATGAAGCTCAAGTTACGGTCAGGCTTTTCTATATAAGGGACTGACTACTACCATTCAATAATCGTGGGGTAGGGTGGAGTTGGGGGCGGAGGGGTGGGGTGGATGTTTGTTTGGTCAGACCCTCATTGTGGACGTACCACAGGGGCCCATCAGGGGTCGTGCCACGAGAGTGGTTTGGAACGGCTTGTTTCTTGCTCAGTCACTAATGCAATATGTTACCAATTGAGTGGAGAAGAAGTATTCCTGCACAGGTACTCCCCCACGAAACGCCGTGGCCCAGGTACTACACGTGCACGTGTTTCAGCCCAAGGAGATCACTGACCCCTATTGTCATCTACACAGATGCAGCTGACGTCGACTTCTGGCCATATCAATATCCGGGTCTATGCCTACATCCTTGTGAATTCCTGATGGCGAAGCAGGCGTGTATATTCAGTAGGCACCATGCCCTACACTAGTTCCATTTCCTTCCCTGTATCTACATCAACGGAACCGGAGGGTCCATGGGGAGCTGCATCCCCACCCCCTTTTTTGACGCATGCTCAATACTGATACAAGTTTTACAGGCGACCGGCATACTAACTGTAACGCACATGACAACACTATGACAAATTCATTTGGTGATTTGGGTTTTTTAACACAAAGAACGGGTTTACCAAACATACTTCCCAAGATGCTTCGCGGAATATTTGCTTCCATCGCTCAGCTTGTGATCACAAACTTCACCCATCCTTTTTTAAGAAGCTGCCTCCGCTCTTGATGTATCTAGCTCTGTTCTAGCTCTGTTCGTTTCTATGGTGTCATCTTTGAAAAGGCGCACTGGCTCCAGTAAGGAAAGGCTTGCATACGTGTGGTAAGCTGGCTAAGAAGCTGACGTTATTGGAATGTCGTATCCACTACAGTTGTGCGCGGGCTAAAGGGTATATTCCTAGATGTCTGAATGTTGCTGACGTCACTACCGGCTCAGATACACCCGGGAATCATCGAAATCCGAAACACTCCATGGTGCACACGTCACTTAAGATCGTGACATTCATTGACGTACTATTGTGTTGTGTCATGTGCGAGCTACCATGGCAACGCGTCCAACCCTTGGTCAGCGCCATTTTAGAAAATGCGAAGTGATGGTTTTGATCATTTGTACTTGCTGATGCATCTGTCTAGAACGTTGCACATGGAGAGGTCGTCCTCGTCGTTGCACTGCAGGACAACGGGGATGCCCTCCAACTTCTTCAACAACGTCATCTTACTGGAGGAATACAACATCTTCTGCTGGGTCGTCGCTGTGTCCGGACTCCTACAGGTCAACACAAAGAGGTTCAATAATATGGATAAACAACATCGACAATGAGTATCAGAAGAAAATTACTGGAAACAAACAACTTGAACCTCTTGGCGCAAGGCCCTCACGTGATTTGATGAACCTCGCGAAGAAAGACCCATTTTATTACAAATTGAATATATATTTTAATCATCGATCAGATCGTCTTGACTGGGCGCCGCCATTTGGTTTGAAGCAAATGAAAGTGATATGAGAGTTGGAATCTGATTGGTCAATAAGAGGGACATGGAAAGGACATAACTCGTAATAACCACTGGTGGCGCTACGATCGAGCCCAGAAAATACAGGCTAGTTTGGCAAGGGTGGAGACTGGACTTTTACAGTCAGTTGTGTTTCATAGTGCTCGACCCTCTGCAGTGGCGCCCTATACAGGAAGAGAAACCTACAGACCACCCCTACAGTGTGTCACGGGCATTGGGTGTCGTCTGTCTCACAGTTCCAGGGACTCGTTACACAAAGCTATCTCATAGTCTACGTGAAAGTATGGGAGCTACGATCGTCTCAGCGCTACGATCACTTTCTGGAACGGGCCCTGAACCATTTTATTTTCCCTTACGCCCAACCCTTACTGTAATGCTAAAGCCCTAAATGAATCTCCCATCTCACTGGGGCTCCCTGTCAGTCTAAAAGTAGTTGCTGTCAAAACTATAATTCTGCAAGTCGTGCGTGATGGCAGAAACTACACTCCTCTCAATCTGTCACTGTTGACTGTATACTACACATAGCTTGTGATACAGCTGAGATACAGATAATGGCATGTTCAGGGCTGCCTCCAAGTCATTAGTAAATGAACTGGTTTAATGCCATAGTATATATATCACATAGTCGCCATCTTTAGCATCTTGACGGCGGTAGACGGTTAGAATAGGAACCAATCACTCTATTCCACTTAAGAGGCGACGGGGTAGTCTAGTGGGTAAAGCGTTTCGTCACGCCGAAGCCCTGGGTTCGATTCCCCATATCGGTACAATGTGTGAAGCCCATTTCTGGTGTCCCCGCCTTGATATTCCTGGAATATTGCTGAAAGCGGCCTTAAATTGACAAATTGGATCGGGCTCAGCCTGATCGGACAGAGACGGCGTGGGTGTATTTCAACTAATGGTTTGTCTGGTCCATAGTCCATTAAATGCAGACCGCCGTGATAAAGCTGGGATACTGATGACTGCGGACTTAAACATTTCTCTTTGATATGATTCTGTTAACTGGTGTGTTAAGTGTCTGCGTCCAAGGGATGACCAGGACTCACCAGAGGAAGAAGGCCAGTCTCTGCTGCGGCATGGCGTTCTGGTAGAACTTGACATCAAACACTGCATACCGGCATTGCCTCTTGGACTCAGCATCTTTCAGTCTCTGCACAAAGTCCTCGTATGTTTGATCTGAAAAACAGCAAATCTTGCAGATAGATCGATGATAACCTTTATAGTGTATAGCTTTTGTGCACTAGCGTGCTTCCTCATAGATGTAAAACAAACGATAGCTTTCCTGCATAAACTCTATGTAGATGTGACAGTTAGTTCTCGTCCTTCAATTTCATTCACTGACGCCCCAACAATGAGAGTAACGAATGTGTCACGCGTTGCAGTGAAGATTTTTTTTTGTTTGGTTTGGTTTGTTGTTTTACCCCGCAATCAGCAATTTTCCAGCTATATGACGGCGGTCTGTAAATAATCGAGTCTGGACCAGACAACCCAGTGATTGATATCATAAGCATCGATCCAATCAATTGGGATCGATGACATGCTTCAACCAAGTCAGCGAGCCTATACACCCGATCCCGTTAGTCGCCTCTTACGGCAAGCATAGTCGCTTTTTATGACAAGCATGCGCTGCTGAAGACCTATTCTACCCCGAATCTTCACGGTTCAGTGAAGAGTTTACCATCAACTGGTTCCAGTTCTCTAACTTAAACACTTGCCAATATTTGAAATACATTCCTCCTTTTTGTCTTTGAAAAAATGGTCTATAATCGCAGTACTTCCCGCACTCTAAAGTCGACTATGGCTCTTTAGTTGTTCTAGGGTGTTGGTAGTGTGCTCGGCCTACACTCACAGTGACTCCCGGGGCGGTCGGGTAGCCTAGTAGTTAAAGCGTTAGCTCGTCATCCGGAAGACCCGGGTTCGAATCCCGATATGGGTACAATGTGTGAAGCCCATTTCTGGTGTCCCCCGCCGTGCTATTGCTGGAATATTGCTAAAAGCGGCGTAAAACCATACTCACTCACTCACTCACAGTGACTCCCGCACTTACATTTTGAAATTGACCCCGTGGTTTTATGGGTAGAGACGAACAGTCCCTGAGCCGTATTATTTCCCTTCCGCCCAACCTTTACTGTAATGCTATAGTCCAAAATAAAGCAAGTGTAGATTTGCCCCAGCGTTAATCTAAGACGGCCTATACCCACAGTAAGTCTCGCACCCTACAGCCATGGCTGTGTTAGTGTGCCCCTAGTGGGCCTGTACTTACAGTGGGAACCGATCTCCTCCACCTTGATAGTTCGAAGGTCGTCAGTGACCCTGTAGATGATGTAGAGGAACTGACGGCCCATCTTCAGGTGCTCGAACACCGTGACGCACTCCTCGTTCACCGCAACGCCGCTCATCGCCTGAAATACACAGACATTTGTACACCCATGTGGTCATCATCAATTGTTCAGAAGAGGTTATTTCAACTTCCTCATCCGGATATATGAAGTTGTTAAAGGGGCCCTGGGGATTTGGGGGAGAGAGGATTTGGTAAAAGAATAATATGGTTAATAATGTTTAGTGGAAAAAAACATTGTTTGGCTCCTTTCATGGAATGAAATTTGCCTGTTTTGAACTTTTTGTTTGATTGTGGTTTAACGCTGCACTAAGCAATATTCCAGCTATATGACGGCGGTCTGTAGATATAATGATTGTTATATTTGCGATAACACTTTCTTAGTGGCATTGTGTGGTCTGTAGATAATCAAGACTGTAGTAATCCAGAGAATCCGGTGATTGAAATCATGAGCATCGATCCACGCAATTGGGATACGATGACATACATCAACCAAGTCAGCGAGCCTGACCACATTATCCCGTTAGTCGCCTCTTATGACAAGCATAGTCGCTTTTTACGACAAGCATGCGTTGCTGAGGACCTATTCTATCCGGGATCTTCACGGTTCAGGGAAGAGTTTACCATCAACTGGTTCCAGTTCTCTAACTTAAACACTTTCCAATATTTGAAATACATTCCTCCTTTATGTCTTTGACAAAATGGTCTATGCATGGGTTGCTGAAGACCTATTCTTACCTGGATCTTCACGGGTTCTGTTTTGAAGTAGTGCCCGAAATATGGTCCATAAACATCCACTAAGACTTTAAGCTCTGAACAAATATATTATCGATGACATGCTCTGATATCGGCACTCCGCTTGTCTCGAACTTCGGAAGATCTCTCGCGTTAACGAGGTTTCCCTGCATCTTGTATCGCCTTATGGTTATTACGCAAATACTCATATCATACTGACGGGGCGGTCGGGTAGCCTAGTGGTTAAAGCGTTCGTTCGTCACGCCGAAGACCTGGGTTCGATTCCCGTCATGGGTACAATGTGTGAAGCCCATTTGTGGTGTCCCCCGCCGTGATATTGCTGGAATATTGCTAAAAGCGGCATAAAATCGTACTCACTCACTCATTTCATACTGACAGGTATAATTCGATATAACGAGGGGAGTGGAAATGGGGTTTGAGGTCGCGTGCGTGCGTGTGTGCGTGTTTGTCTGCTTGTACTTGTCAGAACTAATGTCGCTTTTGTAATGCAAGACGACTGAGATGCCATGCCGCAGATTAACAAGAATACCCCTTTTATTCCCTTATTGCAGAGCGCCAGGCAGGGTAATAACAAGTACCATCCTTCGACGTCTTTTGAGATGACGCGGCCGGGGATCGACCCACCTTCCGCTCCCCGGGAAGACACTCTATCCACTAGACCAAAGAGGCATTCCAGATATAACGAAGTAAAATAACAATATTACTCGTAATCGACAAAGTCACACCGTTGGATTGCTTGTCCAGACTCTATTATGTTTACACGCCGTGGTGTAGATTGAATATTGCTGACTATGGCGTTACACAACATTCACTCACTCATTGAATATAGAATATCAAAGGTTATATCCCATTAGTTAGACGTCCCATTAGTTAGACGTCCCAATTGTTAGACATTTTTATTTAGGCAAAGAGGAAATATACCTACAGGTGTAATGGATCAGTCCTAATTAGATTAAAGTACTGAGTAGGGATAGAGGACTCACAGTCTAGGGAGTTTATATGTTACAATTTCGTTTAATTAACCTAAATTAAAGTCATCCAGAAAGCCGAGTTCAGTGAAAGGACTAAGGTGATGCAATTGAACTTTGGTGCGGCAACACGCTGCCGTAAGAGAATCTACAGAGAGACAGAGAACCACCTGGTACGCCTCAAAGATCAGCTGCAGCAGGGTGACAAGTCTGCTACTGAGTATTTAGATGCTTGTGTACATTACCAAATGTTTGGTTTTATGACCAGCAAAAAAAAAGGGGGGGGTGGGGGGGTCCTCTAGTTAGCAGCCTCCACTCCAAGTGACGTCATCGTTAAAACATTAGCGTCATTTATTGATTTCTTCATGAATAGATTCATTTTAATGAACATAATTTAACTAGGCATTGATGGTATTAGTATACATGTATATGGATGTGCGTCTGGGAAATTTAACCGATTGTTGATATAAATATTCTAGAATCAATATACCACTTTTGTATCTCTGATTGATGTTATTTTCTATATTTTCTTGTCGTTTTATATGTATTCTTGTTGTTTTAACTTCACCCCGGATTCCGGGTTAGATTTGGCCCCAAGCAACATTTGCTGGTCGTAAGACTGAGTGAGTGAGTAAGTAAGTGAGTGAATTGGGTTTTAACGCTGCTTTGAACAGTATTCCAGTTATATCACGGCGTGTCAGCTTAATGTGGGTGGAAATCCCGAAGTTTGTTTGTTTGTTATTTAACGCCGCACTCAGCAATATTCCAGCTATATGACGGCGGTCTGTAAATAATCAAGTCTGGGAACAGACAATCCAGTGATTGACATCATGAGCATCGATCCACATAATATCAATCACTGGACTGTCGGGTCCAGACTCGATAATTAACAGGCCGCCATCATATAGCTGGAATATATCCGGTGATTGACATCATGAGCATAGATCCACATAATATCAATCACTGGACTGTCGGGTCCAGACTCGATAACTTCAAGGCCGCCATCATATAGCTGGAATATATCCGGTGGTTGACATCATGAGCATAGATCCACATAATATCAATCACTGGATTGTCGGGTCCAGACTCGATAACTTACAGGCCGCCATCATATAGCTGGAATATTGCTGAGTGCGGCGTTAAACAACAAACAAACAAACTTCGGGATGCAGGTCTCAGACGTTTACCACTTGGTGAAACCCATGAGCACGAGCACACAAACCTAGAAACATTATCGGAGCGAACCGGGATTCGAACCCACAATCATAGGTTTCTGGTGTGCCCAAGGGACGCAACTCTGCATCGCGAATTGGGGTGTCTAAGACGACTGGGTCCCCCGGTGCTACAGCTGGCTGTAAAAGGCGACTTAATGGATCCGGTGGTCAATTTTCTCTGACTTGGTTGAGGGCTTATCATCGTACCCCGACGGTGGGCTCCTAGCTCATAATATCAATCACTGGATTGTCTAAAGGCAAGAGTAAATCTGTAACTTGCTACATGAACTACACTGAAACATTTGGTGTTTTTTTGTGCCCTCCCGACAGATAATATAAAAATACGACACAACACCTAAAAACTAACAAAATGGAACTGTTTTCAAATATTGGGCGGTCGGGTAGCCTAGTGGTTAAAGCGTTCGCTCGTCGCGCCGAAGACCCGGGTTCGATTCCCGACATGGATACAATGTGTGAATCTATTTCTGGTGTCCCCCGCCGTGATAGTGCTGGAATATTGCTAAAAGCGGCGTAAAACCATACTAACTCACTCACTCTTCACATTTTAGGGGGGCACGGGTGGCCCTGTCATCTGAGGGGCTGCAATTCTCTGTGCAGAGTTGCGTCCCTTGGGCACGCCAGAAACCTATGATTGCGGGTTCGAATCCCGGTTCGCCCCAATTATGTTTCTAGGTTGTCAGCACCATACCCGTGCTCGTGGGTATCACCGATGTGGTAAAAGTCTGAGACCTGCATCACTTCGGGCTTTCCTCCCACATTAAGCTGACACGCCGTGATATAACTGGAATACTGCTAAAAGCGGCGTTAAACACAACTCACTCACTTTTCACATTTTAGATCAATAGCCTCTGACAACTGCAAGCACCAAGAGAACAACGTCCTCTCTAGCTGAACTAAATACATTTACACGTCACTGCATGTTAACTGCCGGGCAAAAGAACGTATACACCAAACAAATTACACACGTTATCAAAACGTTACTAGCCTGAAAACAGTCACCGAAACACTGACAGCTTAAGGTCTTTGACACAACTATAATACCGGTATCAAATACATCACCATCGAATAACCATTTCTTCGTTTGTTTCACGTTAAGCCACCATCAAACATGCGTGAATACTTTCTTTTGCACGGCAGTTTATAAATCCTGCATAGAATGAGTAAGTATATACTTCATACTAAACCGAACGTCGCGAAAAAATTCATGCCCAACTTAATACATCGAGCTACACAACGTTTTTATTCTGTTTTATACATATTTTGACCTAGTCAAGCTGATTTCAGCATAAACTCCGTAAACCATAAAATAAAAATAGTGGTTTGGCTTAAACCATTAAACATGAGCTTTTACGTTTACGTAATATATAGTAATACAAAGTAAAATATAATACGATGTTATTAGAATATCAGCCCTGTACGTTTAAATGGAGGTTCTCTCAGTGCATGTTCTTTAACCCAGAAACCCACAATGTCTTCTAACAGCACCGACAGGTGAAACTAGAGAAGCCATTTCATCACCTCCATGGAAGATGAAGTAGGTGTAGTTTTTTATGACTGAAATGTAACTAATGAGGGGAGACGGATGCAGCCCAACTCACAACCTATATATATACCTACCACTGAATGGAGGACTAAATGCACGGGCGATTCTTGTAAACAGGCAGTATTTTGAGAGGTAAATGAGCTTAGCTAGTCAGATACTACACAAACAAGTCATATCATATATGTGTGTTACTATTGCTCTCAAGGAGCTAAATATACACACTATTTATGTGTTCAACAAACTCGTTCTGCAAGCTCTACCTGACAAGGGAAAGCTGGGCAATCCGTCAACACGGGTCTTTGATAAGATTACTATATGCAAGCACACAACATCGTTGTTTGTTTATTCACGGGACGTTGTCGGTAACATATCAGCAGCCTGGCTTCCAGAGCAGTGCACAAGGATCAACTGGCATCCCTGCCTGGTATTTCAAGAATGGTATATGAGAAGGTTTTATCTGTTGGTGAGTGAGTGAAATGTTATGCCATGTTTGGCACTATTCTAACCGCAAAACAGCTAGCGGACACCGTCAAAAGATGTCCGTTTCAGTGAATGGGTGAAT